CCACCCACGTCTTCTCTTAAATGATCTAATTAGCACAAGCCACAAAAAATAAATAATCCCATAAATAAAACTCACATTTTAAAAAAATTCTTAATTTAAAAAAAACAATCAAGAATAAGAATCAATGTGAAACCAAGAAGAAAAAAAAAAGCATATTTCATAAAATGATTGAATAATTCATTGACTCATTTTTTGAGAAAACTTGCACATGGCAAATACTTAGAGCACAAGAAATATGCAACAATCTAAGTAGATATTCTTTGTGATTTTGGTAGGTTAACTGAAAATAAGTACGGAAAAATTAAGAGAAAAGGACAGTTAATTATCTTCATAAATCATAATTAACAATTGTCCACAAAATTAGTTTAGGTCAAAATACAAATGGGTCCCACCCATGTGACCTTGTATTATTAGTTGTAACGATGCATGTAGTTTGTTCGTCCCCCACAAAGTTACTTGTCAAACGTCAAAAATATCATTTATACATTTATTTATCAATTAATATTATATGAATTCCGTATAAATATAAGTTTCTTTATCAAATAAAAACCATATAATAATATATGTAAGTATAAAAATTGACAAAATAAGAAGTACATAACAAACAACTAAGCATATTTTGGCCTAACATGAGAATATACTACTTCTTCATGATTTCCAAAGGGCAATTTTTTTATAAGAAGGTACTAGAATTCAGGTTGTAGTTTCTCGACGGTTTACATATTGATGATAGATTAGAATAGGACCACGATTAAGCTTTTTATTTATGGCTTGCATTCAAAGGAATGAAGATCAAGATATTTGATGCTTGGAATTGTTTAAAATAGAGATTGCTACATTTATTGAGGCCGGGTCAGGTGTACTCAAACGGTTTCATGTCTTACGCGTTGATGTTTGAATATCTTGTTTGATTTCATTCCTTGTCGTTTGATTAAACTCGGATGAAAAAATACTTATTGTAATTATTTCAAGCTTGAAAATTCTCGATTAATTGAAATTACTAGGGTGGCTAACGCGCTATAGCTAGCCATGTTTAAAGAGCTTTTTCAATTGTTGGTTACATTATTAAGGAAATAAATGTAAACACATACATATAGTATTATAAATGTCTGCATACTATTTTAAATAGTTTAAAAAAGAAGAAGACAATTAACATTATATTAACGAAGGCCAAAAAAAAAAAAAGAAAGAGAATTACATTAATGATGGCAAAATAAAAACTTGTTCTACATATTAACGAGGGTAAACATATAAATGTAAATTTTAAAGTCTATCAGGCCTTATTCACTTCACCTTAAAAAAATAATAATAAGTAAAAATAATTTTAGTTCAGCAAAAATAAGTTCAGTTCAATAAAATTAATTTCAATTCAGTAAAAATAATTTCAGTTCAGTAAAAATAAGTTCTGTTTAATAAAATCTACTACTCTAAAAGAAGAATTATAATAGAAAATCAGTAAAGATAATTTCAGTTCAGCAAAAATAATTTCAGCTCAGTAAAAATAATTTAAGTTCAGCAAATATAATTTCGTTTCAGTAAAAATAATTTAAGTTCAGCTAAGGTGAACTGAACGAGGCCTAAATTATAGTAACCTAATAAAATTTTATAATTTTATTGAAAAGTATAAGTGGTGGGATTTCGAACAAATGCTCTTCTTAATTAAATATCCGATGCAATAGAGATTTTAAGCCACTAACCATACTTTAATTAAATATGATCACATTTGATTCCTTCTTAAGATATAAAATTGTTTTTAATGGAATCAAATAATTAATTCTACATATAACTTTATTTCACATAGAGGAAAAATATTATAATTAATATTCTAATAAGTTAAGTGATTGAGACTACACTTGGTAGGGAGGATCCGTGTTCGATCCCCCGCAACAACAATTGGGAGGGGACTGGAACCTAATCACCCAGAATTGATCCCCGAATCCGGATTAGCCCAAAGGGTGAACCGGGTAGAACACCAAAAAAAATAATAAAAAAAATAATAATAAAATAAAGTAAAATAAGACATAATTCTGCGTATTAGCACAAGACACTATACAAAATTTTGTAACTGTATTTTTTTTTTCTCTCAAATCATGAAATAAAAGTCATTTTTAGTTTAATCATCATCTACTAGCAACTAGACCATATATCCTAGGAGATAGAAGAATTATTAAAAGCTACACGTATAATTGTCAACTACCATATATATAGATCCTCAGGTTTATAACATTAAAATCAGTCAATAGAATTTTTCTCGATTTAAAACCTAATATGACTTAATTATGAAGCAACTGTAGTTTAACAAACTTAGAAATCGGATAATTTTTCTTTTAAAAAAATTATCTATTGATCGATATTAACATAGTACTACAAGTCTACAATAGTACAAAAGCCACAAAAGTAGTGATAGATAAAGGTGGTAGCTAGTCATATTCACTACTCACTAGTGGACATAGTACATATTAAGCACGGAACCTAACAATTTCTCACTACACTAGTGAAGTAGTGAGTTCGTTCATTGAAAATACATGAAGCCAAGAAAATAAGTTAAAGTATATTTTCATGAAAATGACCTATAATTTAAATTTTTTGGTAAAGTTGTACATTTTGAAGGGCACCAAAGGGCAATATTATTGGGGCCTATAAACATGTGACACTGCTAACATAAATACAAGCTGATTTTTTCTTATTTTAAACCCAAACATGTTTTTGTCCAAACCGACAGTTGATCCATCTAAGCCCCACTTTTAACTGCTTTTTTTTTTTAATGATAACTTATATACTCTCAAATTTTAAGGATACTTTTAATTATTTAGCTCTACTGTTCTTAGTTTGGTAGGATAGATGAAAAGATTCCAATTTATTTGGGATTTGTTTAATGTTTTGGATAATTTGAGGATTGAATTCTACACATTATTATAGTCACTTCGATCTATTCGTCTTTTTATTTATCCAGCTTTCACTTTATTAAGAGTTATATTGAGTGAGTAGGTAAATTTGTTTTTTTTTTTGATAAGAAGGTTTGACAATAAATAAAGTAGAGAGGAATTGTAAGGATCATGTTGACTAATACGAAAATAGAACAATGTTTTAGTAGCGGCTTAGAAAGAAAATATAAGATATCCTTAATTCTTTAAAGGATAGAAGGAGTACTAATTAAATGGTTTCTAGGTGCTTCATATGCTGATTCTTACACTTTGATTAATCAATCAACTTCTTGATTAGATTATTGAGTATCTCCAAAAGAGTAACGCTGTAACATGTATCCATGTGCTGTTGGTCCAGCTCTTAGTGAATCTGATACACTAATTTAATTAATAATCCTAGTTATAATCAAACAAATTAAACTACTAGTTGTTGATTAATGATGATTCCAGCGGAATAAACCACTGATTTTCTTTGTTCTTTAGTGATTAGCGTGTCAATTGATGGTTTGTACTTTGTAGTAGAATGAATGCCAATTTACCACAACTGGTACCTTTTTTTCCCTAGGATGTATTACCTAATAATCTTAATTTCTTTAACAGTGTGTTTGGATTGAAAACGTACTTTGGTCATCAAAATGTCAATTGTGGTTTTCAGTATCAAGGGTCTGTTCATATTTACTGAACTGAACTGAGCTGGACTTATTGGAGTTGAATTGAACTGAAATAAACTTAACTGAGCTGAAATGAATATTCTATGAGAGAGGGATATTAGGAGCTGAAGTGAACTGATTGGAGCTGAAGTGAACTGAACTGATTGGAGCTGAACTGAAATTAAGTAAATGTAAACAGGCCCTAAGTTGATTTTTTTTTTTTTTGTTTTTTTTGTGTGTGTGTGTGTTGTGTGTGTGTGTGTGTGTGTTTAGAGAGCCACAAGAGTAGGGTGAGAATCAATCCCAAAATCTTATGAAATCGAAAGAGAAGCTTTCACCACTTGAGGTATCCCTCACTCTCAAGTTGGTGTCAATTTAATTATATAGACAAGGTTGTGTCATGAATATAATGTAGTGCACGTTAAGTTGGTGTTGCAGAATGTTATGTTGCCTAATTAATAAATGATAGAAGTAATAACAATTTTATGTGTAATTTTGCAAGAAAAATCTTAAATTGGCATCCATAAATCCATAATAATGAAACTTCAACTCCAAAATGTTTTCTTATTCATAACTTTTTATTACAATCAATATCATCCATTAATTGATACGGAGTAACAATGGAAATTAATGACGAAATGATGATAAAACTTTTCTTACAAAATTACTGTACTTGTGAATATCTACCAAATAAAATGTTACTCACTTGTAACCCCTAAATTCAACTTCTACTTAGCAATATTGCCTTAAAATACACTTTAACATTTCCATTTGGTTTATGAATGTTAATCAAGTCATAGTAGACACGGGAAGAAACGAAGATTAAGTTCAAGCAGTGAATTTCGCGCTCGTTTTGAGATTAGGCTATTATTATTCCAAATCACCAATTCTATGAAGAAATTATTACATTCTTTAACACACCAAATTTCTTGAGACTGGAATTTCCAACAATATGGGTCGAATTTGTGTGAAACCCGCTTCAAAAGGACTAAGAAATTAAGAAAAGTTGAGCATTTCTCACTACACGAATTCAACCCAAGACCGTGAAAGAGACTACTACAGAATGTTCTTGAGACTGGAATTTCAAAACTAATACAGCAGTTTCAAAGTCAATCGCTGTATGCATTGAACAATCATTGCACAAATCAGAGTCAAACGCAAGTAGCCCGCCATTGCTTAACCACAGCACGATATTTTAGCACCAAAGAAAGTTCCGAAGGAAGATGGACCAAATACCATGGTTGAATGTTTGCTAAGACAATTCTCAATGAAAGGTGCTCGATAACTATAAATCAAGTAACATCTATAAAACGTAGACGACGATGGCCTGGATGAGGCCCATTGACATGAATCAATATTGATGAAAGATTTTGCTTCTACAGAAGCTTATAAGTTAACCCTTAACCTGTTTTCTCTACAATGAGAATAAAGCTAGCATCACATGGATGTATAAAATTTTATTATCAAGGTCTATAAACCGACCATGCTTTGAAATATAAAATACACATGCAGATCGGTAATGCTGTTTTATAAAGCAACAAAAGAGAAGGGGTAGGAGTATACAGTAGTTCAAGAAAATACAGAAAGGAGAGACTAAATAACTGTGGTTACCTTGTAACAGGGTTGCCAATGCTGCAGACAAGTTAGGACCTGTTTACATTCTCAGAAGAAAAGACAGTACATAATAGCGGGAGAGAGACAGAGATGTGATTTCAAGCGTACATACAAGTAGCAGCGGCAACCATGACAGCAGCCAGTCTATACAACAGAAGGGAATGACAAGCACCCTCTTCCATAAATCCCAGCCCTGTACTTTCTGCCAAGAAAAATTATCCCTTACATCACATATAAGATACTCTTTCTCATTTGTACAATTAACAGACCGTAGTAAACCAAATTTGTACTCTCCAGTCTCCACGGTTTGTGCTAATCATGTCCACTAAAAGTCACAGCATAGGGGAACTTTGTACTGTGAATTGTCATTTCGGAAAAAAACCACCGCCTATCATACTTAAGCACCATATGACTGCATAAGATTAACATCAAGAGTCAGCAAAAAAAACTAAAAGCAATACCAATTATGCATTAATAACAGCAGCAGAGGACGCAGGAGAAATCAAAGCATAAATTTGAGTTATATATGTCAACATTTATGAATGCCACACACATGCCAGCAACTTTATAGTCAAAAAGATAGAGCGCGATACTCCCTCCGCATGTAATTGATAGTCATAAATTTGTAAGCTGTCTTGAAAGAAAAATAGTTACCATCCCTAAAATCAATAGTGGTTTATGTTTTGATTTTCTAATACACCACACTAATTGATAGAGCGAAGATAGATATAACAAAACCACTATAAAAGGCATTTTTGTCAGGGAAAAAAAAAAAGTTATACACCAATTATATGAGGTTGAGACATGGCAAGTCATTCGGTATAGAAGGAATAGCGGAGAATAATGCATTCCAGTGAACCATGATGCATTTGCCTCAATTTATTTTTTCATGATATCAAATTAATGCATAACTTTGACCATTAATATCTTTAATTGTCAAATAGAGGAAGTAGTTTTTACTTGTTGGTAATTAGAGACATTAATGTTTGAATTAACGAATTGGCAAACGTGAAATGAGAAGTGATGCAATTTTAGTGAAATGGAGGAAGTATTATACTACGAAACCATGATTTTATTAGCATATTGGACCTTTTAGGGCGTGTTTTATTCACCTGATTTTCAGGTGTCTGAACTTATCTTTTCTAATTTGAACTAATTTTAGTTGTAATTAAAATTTGAGCAACCCTTATCTTAACTTATATCCTGAACTTATAAATAAGTGAAAATAAGGTAAACAAAAGTACAAAACAGGGCCATCATAGCAAATAATTTTTGCAGGAAGTCTTCAAACAATTGTAATATTCACGATAAATGGCTTTAACAGTGGGGATCCTGCTGTTGGAATCACTTAAAAGCTTCCTCTTTTACAAATTACAACTAACACATAGCAGTAGGATAGGACAAAGGATTGCGCTTCCAACTAACTCAGCCTATGAATGCAGTGGACGGATGAAACATTTCTCTAGCAATGTGGATAATGAATTTGCAACTCCAACATCTCACTTTATTCAAGACAGAATTCCTTTTATCAATTGTACTAATTCCAGCAGCTCAAATATTGAGGTTAGATCTTCTCTTTCATACAACTATTACAGCAGTTATTTTCAAATATTTAGACTCACTGTATACTATATAGCCTATTATTATCTTCTGAAACGAAATTTTTTGGTTCTGAAATATTACTGCTCAACTTGCAATTTAATTACCAAAGAAACCTAGCAATCCTTCATGATTTGACAGATGAAGTGGGCAAAAATAAATATATAGATTAAAGGAAAAATGGAATCTAAAAATCCAACCTTTGGCCGTTCTAACAATAAAAATCCAACCTTCGTTTAATCTCACAAAAATCCAACCTTTATACCCCACCTTCTTTGACAGATCCATTACCAGTTGATGACCGTTTTTTGTAAGTTATGTGCCACGTGTCAGGCGTTAATTGGTCCATTATTTTTTTAATCATTAAAAAAAAAAAAACACCATCAGCCACCCTTCCTAGCCCCCGCACCACCCCAGCCACCCTTCCTAGCCCCCGGCAACTACCCCCCAGCCCAACCAGCCCCACCATCGGGGTCGTCGGATTCCGGCGATCTCCCCCCACCCCCCCACCCCTTGCCGCAACCTCCCCAACCACCAAAACCCCCTTCGAATCTATACCTAACCACCACACCAAACACCCAATTCAACCAAACCCACCAAACATCCCCCTCTCCCCCTCCCTCCCCTACGCAGCACAACCTCCCCCTCTCTCTCCCCCTCCCCTGCGCACAACCTCCCTCCCCTGAGCGAAACCTAGCCCCTATCAAAACCCCAATCGACGCGCGACCTTGGGTATGGGGTTGGTGGTTTCGAATCTGGGTATGGGTATGGGGGTAAGTGGTGGTGGAAGAGGTTATGGGTACGGTGAGGGAGATGCTGGGGTGGTGGTTATGGTGGGCGACCCTAAACCGACCCCATACCCTATCTCAGACCGCCTCGTTTGGGAGGATTGCGTGAGGCTTGTGGTTGGGCGTTGGTTTGGGAGGAGAGATAGTGGAGGAGGAAGAAGAGGGTTTCGGTTTCGGGTAGGGTGGGTAAGTGGTGGCAGAGGTGGTGGACTGGCGGTGGTGTAGAGAGGAGAGAGAAAGAAGAGGAGTGAGAATTAAAAAAAATAAAAAATTAACCTGTTTAACAGGTTAAAGGTCAAATGGATCTGTCAAAGAAGGTGGGGTATAAAGGTTGGATTTTTGTGAGATTAAACGAAGGTTGGATTTTTATTGTCAGACCGGCCAAAGGTTGGATTTTTAGTTTCCATTTTTCCTAAATTAAATCTAATATTCTATAGCTTAAGAATCACTGGGAGTGGCATCTAACTTATTAGCCATTGTGTGACAAATCAAACAGGAATGAAGTTAGCACCTAATTGAAAATAAAAGTCAAATCCCTTGCAGCAGGCTATGCAGTGACCATCAAAATTATAGATATTTAGAAATTAGGATGCATGATATTTGTGTATCCTGAATACTTCAGTGAAGAAAAGAAGCAGAAATTTTGCCACATACTTCAACTACAGATACAGATTAGAAAAGGAAATTTGGTCAAAACATGGTTAATTGGTTAGAAATGCGTGAATAGATAATCCCTTCACTATAACATCCCCACAAATTCAGGAATTGAGCTTAGTTATATGTAGTGACCAAAGTGAAGACTAACAAGAGGCAATACACAAGGGAGTCCACATAAATCTAATCTTCCAGGCCATCGTTCACGACTCTTAAGGGGATTATTTTACAACAATAGAGCTGTAACCTTGTCAATCAGTAGTCACTGTCTCAAAATAACCTACATATTCCCAACTCCTTTCTTTACTTCTCCAATGAGGAAGGTTCCTGAATACACACAGGGGCAGCTCATGTTTACTGCCTTGCAGGTTTTTTACCCTTTGATAGGCATCCATCAACTTGAAGTTGTACACCCATGACCCATGTGTCTCTTAAGAGAGTCTTCCTTCATATGTTCTCTCTAGACCTTTCTCATTTTCAATCTACATCAACACACATGCACACTTTCTATACCCATAGAAACTGCATGTGCATGTGCTAAATCAATACGTAAGGAATAAAGCTGTACTGACTAACTAAGAAATATAAGGTGCTTTAAGTACATTGTATTTACACTCACTATATAAAAATTGAGGGAAAGAATTAAAAAGTCTACGTAGAATATTGGAAATTCCAATCAAGCATCTATTAATAAAAGGTATCTATTAATATGGGGGAAAAAGGAAAGGAAAAAAAGAATGAATTAAAGTGTGAAATAACTATTAACACCACCTACAAGAAACTGAAAGGTGAAGTAAATTATGATGCGGCAGAGGTTTGAATCCCAAGCTGTCTTTCACTCTTTGGCATACAGCTGATAGACAATTTTAAGTGAGTTTTGAACTACATCCAACGTTAGCTACTTTTACAAGGAACCTGAGTCATGCACTGATGTACTCATGTGCACAACTCTATTTGTAATGTGACTCTAAGAAGGCATGGAGGAAATATATCATTATCAAATGATCTCAGAAGATCTTAATTCAAATGGGAGTTCAGATGAAATAATACAGCAGTTCTAGTTAAAGTGAGAAACTTCTAATCAAGATGCTGTGGGCAAGAAAGATTCTAGGTATGACTTATGAGTTCACAAGAATGATGCTTTCTAAATCTATTATTTAGAGACGAAAATTGGAAAAGACTGTGCGTGGGGTTTGACAGATTGGTGATCTCAACTGATCACATAGGTTGTCTTAGAAGTAATTCAATGAGTCTAGGTACTAGGAAGATCAACAGCTAGACAGGCAATGTGCAAAAGGATTTTTAAGAGATACCGAGAATATATTTATCCTACATGAGTAAATCTTTAACTGAGTCAATTAGTAGAACAAATTGCTGCCAAAGAAGGTTTTGCTGGTTACAATAAGCTTAGTATTCAAAAAATTCTCCAACATATACCAGCTAATCTAATGTCATGTTTCTTTCTTCTTCTTTTTTTTTTTTTTTTACAAACTCCTTCCACCCCTTACCGAATGGCCATCTTGATTTCCCAGATTCTCCCCAAAATAATATTCCACTTTCTAATATTTTTTTATTAATTACAAGCTAACCATATTCACCTTAATAAGTTGAGAGAAGACATACCTTGTAGAATGTAAAAACTTACACAAAGGACAATTATGGTATTTCAACCCAATTCCATAAAAATTATCTTTGACCGAATGTGGTCAATTATTTAAAGACAGCGGAAGTAACAACAGGTTTTAGTTCAAGAGAGAAATCTGTTTACACGTATGATAGACACAAGAAGATCGTGAAGGGTCAAGTTAACAACCTTATAATGGAGAGCATGATATTCATATGCTTGAGTTTAGCTAGGTTCCTTGTTCCTTTTTCCATTTATTTAAATTATTGTCAGCCGCCTTTTCAATGAAACACTTTTTTCATGCTTGACAACGCATAACTTCAACCCTTAATATATGATGTTTCTAACAAGACCCCACAAGATTACGCTTATAAAAATCACCAAAAACAGAGATTGTATAGTGTGTTAATAGTGTAGGTTTAAAAGTGGATCATTTTGAAAATCAAGAAGTATATGGTATCAACAGTAACAACACAATCATGCTATAATGTCCACATATATTTACATCATAGATAAAATATGTTGCATTGTTGCATATTAATACTTACATAAGTCATAACATAATTCTAAATTTCTAATTGGTCACCTACTTTGTTTAAACCAATAGCAATAATATTCAAGGCACTTTTGCAACTTTGAGGTGTGAAGATTGGAGAAAAGCAAGAGCACACATAAATTCCAAAAACAGGGGTTTAATTTAATAGTAATCTCTTACCAAGGTGAAGATGGGCAGAATTTACAAATAAAAAGAATAGGCGGATTCAAGTGCCAAATTTCAGGTTAAGCTTGAGTCCTACGAGCTTTTAACAAGAAAAAAAGAAAGGTGAATTTATTTTGGCTCCCCGACTAGTCAACTCTAAGTTTTTGCTTTCAATCTTAAAGCACAAACAAAACAAAAGGAAGACAGCGTTATTCCAGGAAATGGGATTATGGGAAGGCATAATAGAAAGCCAAGATGCAAAGCTTTAAATTGACCTAGAGTTCCAGAAAATTCTACTTGATCTTATATAGTAAATGGAAGCTAGATTACCTTGACCCCTGGGAGAGAAGTTCCAGATTTCATGGTTGTAGTGCTCCCAAAAAAGCTGACTCCATTACCAGGCTTAGCAGTAGTAGTACTGCTACCTAAAAGCTTTGATTTCTTTTCTGCAGGCTTTAATATCTGGAATGAGCACATCAGAGTTTCATCCACACTCATCATAGCACCAGCGTTATCAAACTCTCCACAATAATTAGGGGCAGAAAATATTGTTACAAGCTGCCGATCTGCAAAAAACTCATATCCATCCTCCACTACCTGGATTATCAAGAAGATTGATATCAGTTCTGGCTTTCTGAGAGCATAGGAGTAGAAGGAATATTTTAGAAAAGAATACTATCAGTTTGTTAGGCAGATGGTAATAGATGGTGGGTGAATTTAATGGACTACTAGACTACTAGTGTAGTTTCATAGAAGTCCCTTGTCAATTTCCATAGCAATGCTTGTCCATCCAAAATTTTGCTTTTCTTTCCAAATTTCCAATTTCCATTATTATCCATTACCATAAAGGAGGTATTGAGTTGAAAAATTAATTAAAGAAACGAGTCACGTGATTTGGGAAAAAATTCCATTACCACAGCCTTGGCATGTGATTATTTATTTATTTATTTACTTTTTTTCTTAACAAAATTGCATATAGTTTTCTTTCCTTTTACCCTCATTTATCACAGCCTAACAAATGGGTTTTATATTAAACGCTTATAAAATGAATACACATAACATGCAAAAGAGAGGCAGAACACAACAGCTGCTAATAACTATCTCTAAATCTAATTATTCACCATCAAAAGAAAACGGATTTGAAAATGAACAAAGTTTTTATTTATTTATTTATTTTTAAACAGTTAAATTAAATTGGCAGCCTGACCTGATGTGCACGGCAAACAAGGTCTAAATCATGCTTCTCAAGAAATTCTGTCACCTTGTCAGAACCAAATGTATATGAAACTCCCCTATCATTCATACCCCAGCCTTGGACCTCTTTGCTAGGATCTGACCAGAGAAGGTCACACAGCAAACCTGTATCAGGCACATCAGTAGGCCGCTGCATATTTCGTATCTGGTCCAAATTGTGCAGATCAGGTGAGAGGCCTCCATGCATGCACAGAATTTTCTCATCAATAAGGGCTGCAACTGGTAAACAGTTGAAGCATTCAGTGAAGACTTTCCATAACCTAACATTAAATCTTCTCTTGCATTCGTCATAGAATCCATATATACGATTTATTGAAGCACACTCATGGTTTCCCCTCAAGAGGAAGAAATTTTCAGGGTACTTTATCTTATACGCAAGAAGAAGACAAATAGTCTCCAAGCTTTGTTTGCCTCTGTCAACATAATCACCCAAAAATAAGTAGTTTGCTTGAGGAGGAAATCCACCATATTCAAAAAGTCTTAGAAGATCAGAATATTGACCATGTATATCACCTGCAAATCACATGTAAATAAGTAATCAGACATGAATACTCAACAATTCAACAACCAAAATAGATAAAAAAAAAAAAAAAAAAAAAAAAAAAAACGAAAATAGCACGCTGTCCATTTCTAAAAGAGTCAAAGACCAATAATATTTTGGCTTTTAGGTTACGATGAATGGCTCATTAAGTTTAAAGCCATGGTGGTTAAAATATTTCTAAACCAGTCAAACATGCATGCCTTAGATCTACAAAAGAGTTTCAAGTACGCTAGTCATAATTCACACACTGAAATTCCAGTTGACAATGGGCCGTCAGTGATAGATTATACAAAAATAAAACCTAAACAGAAAGAGAAGCTGGTAGCTATAATGTAACTTTCTTTCTTTCACAGCGAGAGTAGAGCTCGCAACACCATATATGTTCTATTACATGATAAATAGAGAATGCAATATATTCTGTTACACAAATATTAACTCAAGCTGACAGGCAAGTGATAAATTCCTTGGGTTGCCTACACACACAAAGAAAATTTTCCAAATTTCACTAAGACTTCCCTGCCCTATTGATATCAATCACCGGATTCCCCACATACCACCTTTAATTTCTATCACTTTGTAAGGAAAATAGTACTTCACTTAAAGATAATAAACATGATTGCAGATCAGTTTTAGCAATGAACATGTTTCATGGCATTTTAAGTTAAAAACAATAATCCTTTGATCATTCTGTTTCAGCATTCAATTTTTGATTAGTGAAATTAGCTAAAAGATTAGTTGATTACATTCAATATTCTATTAGTGGCTGATGAATGCAGCAAAGAGTGTATGAATTAGTTGATTACATTAAAATGTGTGATAAACTATCTATTAAGGTACTGCAGTACATAATATGTAAAATGACAATTAGAGAAATATTTATTGCAATTACTAGTAGATAGCTGATTCTATACAAGAGAAATACCGAATATAAAAACATACTACCACCTAATGAAATTTTATACAGTGGGACTATTTAATCGTTTCAGGTCACTAGCTCAAGCTAAAGACTTCAAATTTTGTATTTAGCACACCTTAAAAAAAAAAATAATAATAATAATAATAAAAATAAATAAATAAATAAATAAATAAAAAAAAAAACTAATGCATCAGCAACACTCTCTTCCATAGTGTAACACTCTCCTAGAGAAATGTAACTATTTTTAATTAGCTGATTATATTAAAAGATCTTTATATGAAATTCAGATTTCAGACCTTGATCTAATTCAACCACAATGTGTTGGATTCAAATCAAAAGAACAGAAATGATTTCCATCAGGCATCAGCAGCAAAATCAAATCAAGATCTTATCTACGTAGAAGATGAATTAGAGCTCACACACTAAACTTCAACAGTAACCAAATAACTCCAACAGTCCAATCATAATTCATATAATTGGTGTTAAATAAAAAGGTAAACCCCTGGTAAAATAGACATGTATCTAAACTCAACATCTAAAAGAAGATAAAACCTATACACCTATAATATATTAAATTAATAACACATCAATCATGGGTCAACAGGTAAAAAAGAAAATAAGTATTGATTATTAACATAACACTCATAATTATCAAGATCAAATAGCTCAAATCAAAACAGATACCAGATAGAATAATGATTAGGAAATACTACCCATATTGCAATACAACAACTTGACAGAAAATTGGGCAAAAATCATATAAACTAATGATTGAAAAACACTGCCCACAATCTTATTAATCAGATACGAAGTACATAAAAATTAAGCTAAACGCAGGTAAAATTATGATTAAAAACAATAACCCAAATCAAATTCATTAAAATTACAAAAAAAATTAAGCAAAACCCAGATTGGCAAGATATAAGAATGCTTGAAAAACACTAACCCATAATTAAAAACAGCAAATTACAGAAAAATTAAGCAAACCCCAGATAAAATAATGATTGAAAAACACTATCCACAATCACACATATCAAATATACAAAAATTAAGCAAATCCCAGATAAAATAATGATTGAAAAACACTACCCACAATCATACAAATCAAATATACAAAAATTAAGCAAATCCCAGATAAAATAATGATTGAAAAACACAGCAAACAATCATATAATCCAAATAAACAAAGAATTAAGCAAAACCAAAATGAAAAAATTACCGCAAATTTTAATAGGTGCTTGAAGTTCAAGAAGATTAGGCTGTTTCATAAAAATATCTTTAGATTGTAAACATAATTGACGGATCTCAGACTCAGAAAGCTGAACTTGCTTCCCTGGTCTACCTCTTACTTCCAGTAGACGACGGATGACGTCATCCAATACTGATTGCTCCATTAACACTCACTTTCTCTCTCTTCCCGCCACTCTTTCACTCTCTCTCTCTCTTCCTGGGTTTGGTGGGTTTTTCTAGAGAGAGAAAATGGGAAATTCTAGAGAGAGATAGATGATGAATGCGAAGATTGGTAGGAAGTTTCGGAGGAATGTGGGATTTTTGGAATTGAAGTTGAGCGTCGTTTTGAGGGTTAGATAGTGTCGTTTATACGATTAGCGTGTCGTTTTAAGTAGAGAGATTTGAAAAAGTTGGATTGTTGAGAGAGAAGCGTGGCGCGTGGGATCATTTGAAATAATTCAATAAAGATTAAATTAATAATTATTTTATAATCGTTAAAAATTAATAAAATATTTAATTAATAGATAAAGGGAGTTGAAGTTGAAAATGGGAGTGCCCCGTACAATGTCCATAAAATATAATCTAAGGTTGAGATTTAAGAATGTGAGTGATGAGGATGATGATTATGACGGGGACTTTGGTGATAAGTGTGATACTTTTGTTAATGTTTATGATTTCAATGATTTGCATTGTGGTTTATAGATAATTCATTATATATACACACTAATACAAGTTACGTGTATATTTTGTACAAATCAATGTAAAATTTTAGGTAAGACGAAGTCAATGTTGAAGTCTACGATCCTAGGTCAAGAAAGGTTGAAAAATATTTCTCCATCAAGAAAGGAAATCCTACTTTTGTGCAACTACAAATAGAATATAAAGGAAAGATTAAGTTCATTCCAACAATTAAGGGATTGATATGTTATTCTAATTAACAATATAATAAACAATAACGATAAGTTTTCCTATTACGATTAGTGTTGCGACAGGCAACGCGATTGATATCTAATAGTGGCGTGACCATCAACGTTAGTCCGCGGTTGACTCTGATGACTTACGTGCGATGTTAGACGACGCCAAATAGCTTCGAAACGAGTCAAAATTTACTGCTTCCTAAAACCAAGGTGAGAATATGTAACAATTAGGACCTGTTCTCATACGTTGAAATTCAGTTCAGCTCAATTCAGCTCCTAATTTCCTTCTCTTATAAAATATTCATTTCAGTTCAGTTCAGCTCAGTTCAATTCAATTCAGTTCAATTTAGTTCAGCTGAGTTCAGTCAATGAGAACAAACCCTTAGAATAAGACATAGAATTGGTAGATATGAATAAATGAATGCATAGCCTAAAACAATCCATATTCGGCTAAAGATCAAGTGAAAGTGTCAGCCGCTACCACCTAAATTCAAGGGAGTCATTCATATTTTTCTCTAACAAACTCTACTATCATTTGAAACCCTATAGAAAGCGAACAATGTCCTATCACAAGAATTCAATCTACGGTTTTTTCACCATATACCCCTGAATTTTTTGTTTATTCACCATATACCCATGAAAATTTTCAAATTCACCATATACCCCTAATTTGTTATAGAAATTCACTACATACCCCTAATAAGAATAAGATGAGTGGAATTTGATTAATTATACCTCGAAAACCACTTTAGATCTCTCCCCTCATCACAAAACCACTCATCTCCTTTTTTCAGCCTTTGAAACCACTCATAATTTCCATAACCATATTCGTATGATTGATTTTGAGGATGAAAAAAGGAAATTTAGGGTAGTTTTGGGGGTGGAAAAAGGAGTGTAGGTGGTTTTGGGGGTTGGAGAATGTATTTGGAGTGGTTTCGTTCATAATTAATTCTAATGATTGACAAAATTAGCAATCATTAGTCATCAAGGGTATGTGGTGTATTTTTGTGAAAACTCGGGAGTATATGATGAATTTAAAAAAGTTCAAGGGTATATTATAACACCCCAATAATTCTCTCTTAAAACCTGTAAATACCCTGAACAAAATCCCAGAGAATTACTGGCGTGCTACCGCCATGTGTTCAAACGTTAAGGCCATATCAGAAATTAACAGCGGAAAAACTAAATCAGTTATAAATAAGTTTTAAAACCAATAACCAAAATCAAATTAAGTGATACAACTTGGAACCATTAAGGCCCTTATTCAAAACCCCACAAAAGTAGTAAATAAATAAAATCAGAGTTTAAAATAAATTTAAACTAATGAAAAGAAATAAACTGCGAATATAACCAACTCTCAACTCAAAATCCCACAACCCTGACGCGAATGCTGCGTATGTAAGAACCTATGGTTAATCTGCTCCCCAATATTACAAGTGTAAAAATTGGATCGTCACAGGGTCATTGAAAGGCGAAGGCCATGACCAAAGAAAGACACACAAAGCACGCAATCAGCAAAGCTGAGTACATACAAGCTGCGAAATAAAATAAGAAACCCCTAACAAGCTACTAATAATCAATCATAAGCATCATTAAATTATAGACTCAGCACATGACTCAACCATCAAATTTATTAAGACTTCACTAGTTAATATTAACTAACTTATTTATTTATTTCATTGGATTTAGCAATAGACAAGGTTGTCCAACCCATGTCCCATTTGGAACATCAATAAAAGAAAAACTCCATGCCTACTTTCGGAAACATCAATAAACATCCAACGACCACGGGCGCGACTCCGTGACCGTAGTTAGTATGAGATCTCACCTAACTCCTAGTTTTGAAAAATATTTGAAATAGGAGACTCGTAGATCAGATGACCTCGATAAAAGTACACGACTAATACCCCATGTACCCCAACCCCTGATTGTCATTACTCCAGATGTGCACCAATCCAGAGTTTTATTGCTCATCCGTCTTGCACTTTATGTGATTTACATGTTTAGACTTGGTGATGACTCATATACATTACAATACAAACATTCCAAACACAATTCAATCAAACATTGCAAATTCCCAATTTAAATTCTTGATTTATTAGTGACAAACAACATTTATTAATTATTCCTTTACTACCTCGGTGTATAAACACCTTGAGTGCATAAGGCACCCCAAAACCTTAACCTCGTCTTACAAGACTTGAATTCCTCCTTTACTCATCCTGTTTGCATAATCATGAATGAGTAATAATTTAATCTTTACACCAATCACATACCTTTGCCTTTAAGCGCACCTTGCATAATTAGAGCACAAATTAAATAATACTTGCATTATAAACTAGTGCACATCATTTGAAATTCACAATGTATAACCAAACAATTTAACCCAGTCAATCCTATACATGATACTAAGTTCTCGATCCGTCCTTATACTTGCACCTACAAGCAAGGTTTCGTAACTTGTATGTACCTTGTGTAAACAATTCGGTTGGCCACTTTAAAACTAGAAATCACCTTCAATAAACTCCTCTCCTAAACCAAACAATAACATCTCAATCAATACCCAATCGATCAAATTTACAGCAATACTAACTTACTTTAAAACCTTCAAAATCCAAATCAAACAACACTTTAAAACCTTCCTTTTAGTTAAAATTAAAGGCTTATATATAGTTCTTTAAATTTTCTTCATAAAAACCTTAAAATTCACTCTTAAACATTAAGGGCCTGTTCCGATTGACTGAACTCAGCTGAACTGAACTGAACTGAACTGAACTGAACTTATTAATAGTTAGTGATTTTTAACTACGAATTAGTGATCTTTGATTATTTATTACTATACATATGTGTATATACAAATGTACATATTATTATTATTGTAGACACCCATTTGTGTCTCCCCAAAACCAAATCCAGTGATGAGTACCTTTCACGTCGAATCATAATCGAATGAAACGAAAGTGTGGAAAGGTCTAGTGTTGCGGAAAGTTTTCTTTTCTTTTCTTTTCTCTTCTCTCTGTTTTTGAAAACTTTATTTTAAGAAAACAGCCAATCCAGTTTGGTTGGTCCATGATATGGGTCCAATAGTGGTGTAGTTGGATGGGGCTTGCAAAGACTTTTCCAACGATATATTATAAGCCCAATTCCGATGAATATTGAGGAATTTATGGCCAATTTACTAAACTGGGCCCGGTTTGAGTTTTAAGTACGGCCCAATGATCTAGGGGAGGGCCTAATATGATTTATCATTCTTAATTCAATTAGGATTCTTTAGAGTTTTAATCAAGATCAAATAGCATTTTCGACTGAAATTATATTATTTTATCTTCCAGTACGGGAATTTATCAGATTTTTCGAAAACGCGTTGAAATCCAAATTGGCGTCCAACCCCAGGCCTTGGCGCCTGGAATCAGGATTGGCGCCAGACGCCAGCCATTGGCGCCTGGCGCTAGCCACTGGTCCTGGTGCCAATGAGCCAGGGCTGGCGCCAAGTTAGTTTTGGGATCTTCAGACTCTGTTTTGATAAATTATCTTTTTTGGCTGATTTTCTCTATAAATATCGTATCAAAAACTCCGGTTTCATTCATCAACAATCACTTTATGAATTACCAATAATCAATTATCTTCATTCACAAAATTATTCATTAACTCTCTTCATACATCATTCATTCATCAATTTTCAATAACATTAATCTTTTAGCATTCTTTTCTATACCTTACTTTTTCATACAGAATTCCACATTCACAAGATCTAGAAACACCTAGCCATATTCGAAGTTGCCTTCGCCCTAGACGTGAAAGGTTTAATTTATGAGGGTTTGGTCCCAAATCTCTATTTCAATTATTTAATTTAATTTTTTTGATTATTATCTTTCCTTGAAGTTACTAACGTGTGTATTTTGTAATTAGAAAGAGGTACGAGGTATCCAAGTAAGTACTTTAATGGTTTAATTGATATTATGATGTCAAAATCATATTTTGATTCCTAGTATCATGTCTAGAGTATTTTTAATATTAAATATGATTGCTATGATGCCTTTTATTCTCTTCCTAATATTTATTCATGTTAATATCATGTTATGGTTAAAGATTTGATTTTTATCGCTTAGTGACATGCTAGGGTTTGTTATTAATCTTGTTAGTATCATGCCTAGGATCTTGCTATGCTTTAACATGATTATGATGATTATTGATTATGATTGATATTATTGTTATTAATGATGTTTATTATTTATTATGTTGCTTGATATGCATATTATTTTATATTATTTATTGCTTGATCACCTTTTATTGCATGTTTACAGGGAATTGGTATTTGCAACCACACTTAATAAGATAACTTAATAATCTTGTTAGGGTTATATGATTATAATTCAAGTGATCGCCAATAATAGTTTATTTTTGCATTATACCAACATAGATTAAACAGGTTTAGGGTTAATCCTATTGATTGTATGTTAGTTAGAAAGCGCACAAGAATACGAGCAGAATAAAGTA